CGACTGCTCGCGGACCAGGGGCCCCAGCACTGCTCATGACCCCTCGCACCCTCTTCTGCCAAGCACTTCCACGTGCCAGGTGCGGGCTCTGGAACTTTCAGAACTCTGGGGTAGCCTGGTTAAACCGAGGCCCAGGGAGGTTAAGAAGCTGGCTCAGAACACGTAACTAAGTCACTGGGTATTTTCTTCTTTTTGATGCCATTGTGAACGGGACTGCTTTCTTAATTCCTTCTCAGAGTTTGACGTTGGTGACAGAAACATACTGGCTCTTTTATGGTGATTTTGTATCCTGTACCCTTAGTGAGTTCATTAGCTCTTAACAGGTTTTTTTTTTTTTTTTTGGTGAGGAGAGTGGCCCTGAGCTAACATCTGTGCCCATCTTCCTCTTTTTTGTATATGGGATGCCGCCACAACATGGCTTGACAAGCAGTGGATAGGTTTGCGCCTGGGATCCGAACCAGCAAACTCTGGGGCGGCCGAAGCAAAGTGCACGAACTTAACCACTACGCCACGGGGCTGGCTCCCTCTAACAATTTTTTAATGGAGTCTTTAGGGTTTTCTACATATCATATAAGATCATATCATCTGTGAACAGAAATAATTTTACTTCTTCCTTTCCAATTTGGATGCCTTTTATTTCTTTTTCTTGCCTAATGGCTCTGGCTAGGACTTCAAGTGCCATGTTGAATAGAAGTGATTAAAAAAAAATGGGCAAAGAACTTGAATACATATTTCTCCACAGACAACGTACAAATGGCCAAAAGGCACATGAAAAGGTGCTCGATATCACTAACCATCAGGGAAATGCAAATCAAAACCACACTGAGATATCACACCTCACACCTGTTAGGATGATTATAAAAAAAAAACAAAACAGGAAACAACAGCTGCTGGTGAGGATGTGGAGAAACTGGAACCCTGGTGCACTGCTGGTGGGAATGTAAATTGGTGCAGCCACAACGGAAGCTGTATGGAGGTTCCTCAAAAATGCAACACAGACCTACCCTATGATCCAGCAATCCCACTTGCGGGTATACGTCCAAAGGAATGGAAATCAGAATCTCGAGGAGGTATCTGCATCCCCATGTTCACTGCTGCATTGTTCACAACAGCCCAGATGGAGAGACAACCTAAATGCCCATCAACAGATAAATGGATAAAGAAAATGTGGTATATACATACAATGGAATATCGCTCAGCCTCAAAAAAGGAAATCAAGCCATTTGTGACATCATGGATGAAACTGGGGGACATGATGCTAAGGGAAACGAGCCAGACACGGAAGAACAAATGCTACATGATCCCACTTACGTGAGGAATCTAAAATAGTCAAACTCAGAGAAGCAGAGAGTCAACGGCTGGTGGCCAGGGGTTGGGGGAAGGGAATAGGGGAGGTGTTGGTCAAAGGGCACAAAGCTTCAGTTACACAAGACGACTAGGTCCTTGAGACCTCCTGTCCAGCACAGGGCCTCTAGCTAAAACACTGCTATTCATCGAGATGTATACGGTGAACACGTACAGCTTTTCCTATGTCAATCACATCTCAATCAAGTGGTAAAACAAGGTCACTGGGCACTGGTGCCCACCCAGGCCTCTAGCCACGGCTCTGTGCTCTGGCTGAGCGATGGTGGGCAGAGCACAATCCAAGGAGGCTGGGTGCCGTGCAGGCATCAACACGGCGCCTGTGCCTAGTGGGGACCTGAGCGTCCATGTCCACCTCGAGGCACCGCCTTCCAGCAGTCTTACTCGCGTGGTGTGCAGTGAACAAGCTCCAAGGACAGAACCCGGCCCGCCTGCCTCTGAGCTGCTGTGGGGACATGTGCAGGTGACGCCCGGTCTCTGGCCTGCCCTTCCTGAGTCTTCCCTGGGGCAGGGGGATGTACTGCACGTGTACAGAGAACAAGGGAAAGGAAACAGGCCACACATGGGGACAGCGAGGTGTTCAGACACAAATCCCCCTACCCGCCCTCCCACCTTGGAGGACAAAAGGCGCTGCTACACGTTTTAATCACCAGGGTCAGGATGATTAAACCCGATGGGAACCTGGAGCTCACAGTACCGCGTCTGAGCGCTCTGCGATGGCACCCCGAGGGCCTGCTCAGGATGTCCCCCCAACACCAGAACACGTGGCATCCAGACGATCCTGCGCCCAGAGGCCCCCTCGAGAAGACTTCTCACGGTTTCACCCAGCCTCCAAAGCTCCAAGGACAGCCCCCGGTGCCCACTGCTCAGGAGTCTTGCAACAGCCCGGAAGATGTCACAAGACCCACGAGGCTGGGCAGAAGTAACGCTGGTTCCTACCGCCTGGCCCACAGCTCTTCTAAGCACTTCTATTAAACAGGAACTGGATAATTTCACAGCAAGTCAAGATTTAAGATGCTGGGATGGGATGAAGCAACAGAAGCAGTTCCCTGGTCCGGTCTGAGAGGACGAGAAGTGAGTTTCAGTGTCTTCTCAGAGGTCCCCGATACGGCATCTGCGTACCAAGGCAGCCCCAGCCCACCCCAGCCCAAAAAACATAGATTGCAGAGAGAGAACGAGGCAAGTCACTTCCTCAGACTCTTTTACCCTCTTTCTATGATACACTATATATACTACGGTATCATTTTACATCTAGAAAACAAAGACACACTGGATGTTTTCACGCAACAAATTATCGAAAGGACAAAATCAAAAGGCTGAGAACACTGGTGTGCAAGGTGTGCCACCAGACACGTGGCTCTGAGCAGCAGGAGTGCTGATTCCGGGCTGGGCACTGTCTGAGGCCTACAGCCAGCTCGACACCCAGGACCAGCTCCCACCACCGCCCTTAGAGCTTCCATTTCGAGAAGGACCAAGAGCCTGCCTACAAGTGCGAGGCTCTCTGAAGTGGGGAGGGACACGGAAAATGCCACCGGGCATAAACCCCACCCGGAGGACCTGCACATTTTGTTCAGCAGAACAGACCTGCACATGTGACCGCTGAATTTTAGGACGAAGCAGACTGGACAGTATGTGTAGTCCAATGACCGTCTGTCCACGGCCGGGACAGGGCTGGGGTTCCCGGAGAAGAGAGAGCGGGGGTCAGTCCCCTGCACACAGACGTGACCTGAGACTGACACAGGTCAGCTTTGAACCGAGCACGTGAGATGCGGGGGACGTCCAGGTGCAGTGAGGGCAGGTGAGCGGCTGACAGGTGTGAGGAAGCGGCTCGGCTGACAGGTGCAAGGTGGGGTGGACAGGACGGCCCTGCAGGCAGGTGGAGGGCTGGGGCTGGGCTCCTGGGCACAAGAGTGCATTTCCGGACACAACGTCCAATTCAGTGAGCCAGTCCCTCCCGGTTCCCAGATGCTCAGCCTGCTGGGAAACCACCAGTCAGCAAGCTGTGCAGTGCACCCACCACAGTGGGCTCTGAGGATGGGTCCCTGTGCCCCCAGATCACTCCTGTTCCCTACCGCCACACCCAAATCCAGGTGCTCCCAACCCCTCGCTTCAAGAAGCCTACCTGCCTCTCCAGCCCCGGGTGCTCTCTCTCTGAGAGAGAGCACCTCTGCAGGCTCAACACACCCCGGGGCCTGGACAGCCTGGCCTGGAGAGCCCCCCAGGGAAATCCTCAAGGACACTGGTCTGGGAACAGTGCTGGGCCCAGGAGCGGCTCATTAGGGGCCTGTGGAGCCCTGCACGTGACATCAACTCCACCCTCACTGCCCCTCTCTTACCTCGTTCTCCCCTGCCCAAGTCTCTCCTCTTTCTCTTCCAAAACTTAGTCTTTATTTTGCAAACATTTTACTCTCCTTCTCAAAGACACAGGAATGCATAACACTGGGAAGACCGGATCTAATCTGACCCCCTTCATTTTAGATACTGAGGCCCAGAGGGGCAGGGGGCGTAGTTCACAAATTCTCTTTCCACTAAACACACCCTGCCTAACAAAGGAGTGAGCGTTATGAACACTGGTCCAGGGTCACACCCCAATTAGGAAGTTGCAGTCCAATTCTGCCCTCACAGGCTGAGTGACCTTGGGGACACCCTTGACCCTCTGGGCCTCCTTATCTTCATCTCTTAAATGCGGGTCAGGTGAGATCATTCCTCAGGTCTTGTGCTCTCTGTGTTCTCAACTGATCCCTTCTCCTCTCCCCTCACCTCGTCCCTCCTCCCAAACTAACAGACAGGCCTGCTGCTGGGGCTGCTGCCATCCCAGGACACGCCTGTTTTTCTTGTTTCTCCAGAGGGAGGTGTAACCTAAGAGAGGAGGCAAAGAGCTGCTAGGCAGGAGGCCTGAGTCCAGCCTGGCTCCACCACTAACTTTGGAGAAGTTGCTCCGTCCAGCAGCAAACAGTGGGCCTGCCTACAGGGACGGGTCTCAGTCTCAGCTGCAGAGGGGCAGTACTAACTAGAAGGGCAGCCCCTTCTGCCCCAGCACCCAGGCCTCCCCAGTCTCAGCCTGAAATCACGGGTCTAGGTCTCCCTTTCCATTGCAGAGGGGTAAGGGATGACCCTACCTACACCTGGGGGCGGGTCTAAGGACTGCACACACCATTTGTCAACGGGTGCGTTGCCCAGGCCCTCGAATCCGAGATTAGAGGAGGACTGGCCCTAGAACCCCTGAGATCAGAGGAGACCCTGGCCCCGCGGACCCCCGAGGTAGTGGAGGCCCTGGCCCCGTGGACCCCTAGATAGAGGTGACACTGGCCCCACGGAACCCAGAGATAGAGGTGACCCTCGCCTCGCGGACCCCCCAATAGAGGTGACCCTGGCCCTAGGGACCACCAGATAGAGGTGAACCCGGCACCGCGGACCTCCCAGATGGAGGTGACCCTGGCCCTGCAGACCCCTGAGATAGAGGTGAGCCCACCCCGCGGACCCCTGACAGAGGTGACCCCGGTCCCGCAGACCCCTCAGATAGAGAAGGCCCCGCCCAGGAGAGAGGATTAGAGGCGACCTCGGCCGCGCAGACCCCCCGATAGAGATGACCCCGGCCCCGCGGACCCCCCCAGGTAGAGGAGCCCCCGCCCGCTCACCCGCCGGGCCTTCTCCCACAGCTGGTTCAGCTTCTCCATGCGGAACTCCCCCCCGGGCTCGCGCTTCGGGGGCGGCTCGGGCTCGTTCTTCTCCCGCGAGTACTTGCCGCCGTGGCCCGCCGCCGGCCAGGGCCCGAGCAGCAGCAGCAGCAGCAACACAGACAGCAGCGGCAGGAGCCCGCACGGCCCAGCTCGGAACCCCCGCAACGCCATCTTCCTCCTCCCGTGGCCGAGACCCCGCGCGGCCGGACGCAAGAGGCCCCGCCCCGGGCCCGCCCCCGCCCCGCCGCCCAGCCTCCTGGGAGTTGTAGTCCCTCCCGGCGCGGCAGGCCCTGGCGAGGCCGCTGGCGGACTACAAGGCCCGGGAAGCCCTGCGGAGGCACGTGAGCCTTTCCTAGGCAACGACGCCGCGGCCTCGTGACGCCCGGCGCCCCCCAGCCCGGGCAGCCGAATGCGGCCAGGACTGCCCCAGGTGGGCTTGCGCGGTTGGGAAAGGACGGGGTCGCCCGGATCCCGGACCCCAGAATGACAGGACACCCCTTCCCTTCCACTCCGTAGAAAGAGTAAACAGTTCAGAAATCGGGACCGTGTCTGGCTGTTGCTTAGACTGTTCCTGTGTCATCTGCATTGATAGGGAATCTTCTTTGTCATTACGGGCTTCCAGAAGGTGGTCCTGCTCGGCACTCAGGCGTAAGTGTCGCTGCTGTCAGGAACCTTAGAACCACCTAGCCCACTCCTTCACTTAGCAGAGGAAGAAAACAGAGGTCCAGGGAGTCCCAGGTGCCCTGGGCCTTCTACTTCCCGTACCCCATGACCCAGGGAGCGCCTGCACCCCAGCACTGTCTTTGACCTGCATCCCAAACACTGACCCTCCGTGCACTTTTTCGGGACCTATTAGAGAGATTTGTGCGCCTGTCTCATTTGTTCCCAGCTGCTACATTTTAGTAGATCAGCAAAATTCAACATAACGAGTTCTGGGCTGGGCCAGTGAGTTGGTGTGTACCCTGGAGGCAGAGTGGGAAAGAAAGGGAGAGAGTGAGATAGGGATGGCTGTCCTCAAGTAGCTTGCGACAGAGGGTCTAGTAGAGACATCAGCTAGGTGCTTTGGGGCTGTTGATACAAAATAACTGATAACCATTCTATAGATAAGAGAAATAAGGCGAGTTTACTTGAGCCAGAGTGAGGATTATAACCTGGGAAGGCCTTAGAAAGCGTTCCGGAGAAGCATAGTTTTCAGTACAGTCTTATATGTTTTTAGAACAAAGAACATACGTTAGACATACCCAGGGTACATTTTTATCAAAATTTCAGAGGTGCTCAATTGCAAATTAGCAGGTAACTGTGACCATGACGTCAGGAAAGGGACTAATCCTGGCATTACCAATAGGGCATTACCAATAGGGCATAGGAGGGGAAGTATGCATTCTTATCTTAAGAGAGTGTATTCTTTAATGGTTAAGCAGATGTACAGTGTATGTTTGATAGGTCATAAGTTAGGCTTTTTAGTTCAAGCGGAATCAGTTTTCAACCCAAATAGTTACCCCATATACCTCAATATGTGAAAATCTCTTGTCAGGGCTTAGAGTGGGACAGGGTGAGCCTGTCTGGTAAGGATGATGGGAAGGGCCTCCCAGGGTGGTGGACTGTGCCTGGGAGGGAGGGCATTCCAGGTGGAGGGACAATGAGGACAAAGGAAGGGGATGGAGAAAACCTAGGGATCTTGAGAGGAATCAATATTTAGTGACTTTTAAATTGTACCCTGTGTCATTCCAGAAAGGGTTTAAGGTGCCTGGAATCAAGGAATGATTTGCCGTCCTTCCTGCCTGATGTCCAGTAACTTGAGAGCCATTGTTTCATATATTTTGTCCAGTTGTTTTGTTGTTTCAGACAAATGGGTAAATTCAGTCCCTATTACTCCATCTCTGTGAGAAACACAATTTCCCAGCTACTTTGCTGTTAATATTTAATGCACTTATCCTGTTTATTAGTTAGGTTAGACTCCTATAACAAACTCCAAAATGCATGAAGGCCCCAAGAGGATAGATGTTTATTCTTACTCCTCTTCAAATCTGAAAGGCAGATGCTTGTGATCAGCAGGCAGTTGTCCTCCAGGTGGTGATTCGGGGATCCAGGCTGACCGTCTTCAACACAGGACTTCCAGGATTGCTTCCCACTGCAGAAGGGGACAGAGCACTGAGGATCTCACAGGGAAAGTGGGTGATAGGCCAGGCCTTACCACTTCTGCTCACGTTCTATTGCCTAGAAGCAAACATGTGGCCACACCTGACTGCAGGGAAGCTGTGAAATGCTGTGTAGCTGTGTATCCAGGTGGAAGGGACAATGAGGGCTGTGGACAGCTAGCCAGTGTTTTTCTTAGACTGCCTGACTGAAGAGCTAGTCCAGGGTGATCCTGGTACTCCTTCCCCTTGGGGTTTTGGTGGAGATCGTGATCTGCAGATCTCAAGGCCAGTGACCTTTCAGGTCCTGGAATCATGAAGGGCAAAAATTCACAGATGAAGAATGCATCAGAGCTGTAAGCATCCATAATGATCATCTAGTTGTACATCTTCCATTTCACAGACACGTAAATGATAAATAGAGGCCACGAGATGCGGTTTGACTTACCCAAAGTCACATAATTACTTAATTAGCATTCTTGTCTGGATAACTTCAGTGTCTCCATTTTGGCCTCTATGCTTTTAAACTTGTTTCCTTAGGAGTCTATTCTCAAAACAGCGAACAGAATTAGCCTTTTAAGTCAGATCAAGAAAATTGCACACCAATGTTCTTCATGAATACAGACACAAAAATCCTTAGCAAAATCTTAGCAAATCAAATCCAGCATTATATAAATAAGTTTGTCTTTATATTTGAAAAGTATTCAATGTAATTCTTCTCATTAATGGAATAAAGGAGGAAAAAATAGCAATAAGATTCTTAATAGGTGTAGTGGAAGGACTTGACCAATTCAACACTTGTTTGTGATAAAATCACTCAGCAAACCCGCAGTAGAAGGGGACTCCTTTGATAAGAGGCACGTACACAAGATGTGCAACTCACATCACACTTAGTGTGAAATGTTCAGTACTTTCACCCTAAAATGAGAAAGAATGCAAGGATGTTCACTTTCATTACTAATATTCAACGCACTACTTCACACCCACTAGAACAGCCAAAGTTAAATAGATCCACAACATCAAATGTTGGAAAGAATATGAAGCAACTGAAACTCTCATACATTGCTGGTGGGCATGTAAAATGGTCAACCACTTTGTTAAACTGTTTGTCAGTTTCTTAAACAATTTAACAAATGCTTATTCTATGACCCAGCAATTCAATTCCTAGGTTGTCCAAGAGAATTGAAGACATATATCTATGAAGAGACTTGTACAAGAATGGTTTGGGCAGCTTTATTTATGATAGACAAAGATTGGAAACAACTCAAATGCCCATCAACAGGAAAACTGATAAATTATAATATACACATGTAATGGAATACTACTCAATAAAAAGAAAAAAACAAAACATGAACTACCACTGCATGCAGCAATGTGGACAAATCTTATCATTATGAGGAGTGAAATAAACCAGAAACAAAAGAGAACGCAGTTTATGATTGCATTTTTTAAAGTTCAAGATCAGGCAAAAATAATCTATGATATTATAAATCAGAACATTGGTTGTCTTTGGCCATGAGTGAGAACTGGGGGGATTGGTCATTAACCGGAAGGAAGCACAAGAGAACTTTCTGGAGTGATGGAAATGTTCGATATCTTGATTGGGATGTTGGTTAGTGGGGTGTATACATTTGTGAAAAATCAATTATATGTTTAAGATCTGTGAACTTTACCTGTAAAGTTTATCTTAAGACCACACACACACACACACACACACAGACACACACACACGGGGGATTGAGTCACCCTGAACGTTAACTGCAGAGACTCTCAGTCTGAACCCCTGCTCAGCTCTCAGAACATTGACAGCTGGGTCCTCAGCCTGCCTGCACACAGGAGACTAGAAGAAATGTTTCTGTTGAATTGGACTATCTCAGTAGGAAAGAATCAAAGATATGGACAGCAGAGGTAACCCAACCCGGGGCCCGCCAGGGTCACCCTAGAGCAAGTCATCAAACACCACTCAAGTGTGCAGAATTTCCAACCAGCTCTTACATCCCCCACTGCTTATCATGAGCAGTCAGCTACAGATACCTAAAACTCTAAGGAGAGCTCCTAATGTGGAAGAGAGAGAGACTAAAACAAATAGAAAACAATCACTGAAAAGCAACTGGAGGAAACAAAAGCCATGCAGGGAAAGAAAAGGGGAAAATGACAACACTATCTTCACAGAGACAGGAGAAGATCCATGGAACACACACGTGCATGCACACGATTAGAGAATTCTATATAATATTATAGAAGGAAAATATATGCAATTCAGAGAACAAAGGAACAATTGGAAACTGAAAACATGATAGCAGAAAGGAAAACCAAAGAGAAGGACAGGAAGATGTTAGCTAACACGGAAGAAATCTCTGAGAAAGCAGAGATGACGAACAGGAAAGCATAGATAAGAAAAAAATAGATTTCCAGTTTAGGAGACCTAATATTTGTTTAGCAGGAGTTTCTGAAAGAAAGGACAGAGAAAATGAGGAGTGGTAGAACTCTCAAAGGAATAACTCAAGACAAATTTTCAGACCCAGAGGGCGTAAGTTACAGGTTGAAAGGACCCACTAGTGACTCTCACAATGAATGAAAATAGACCCACACTAAGGCACATTAATGTGAAATTTCAGAAATAGCAGAACACAGGAGGCAAAAGTAAGATTTACAAGCTTTTAAGGAGAAAAATGAATAAATGGAAAGGGTATAAAATGTCTTCAGACTTCTCAATAACAACACTTAAAGTCAGAAGGTCGTGGGGCGGTAACTTCAAAGCTCTGAAGGAAATGACCTCCAACCTGGAATTCTATACCCAGCCAAACTATCGAGAAAGTATGCAAGTACTTAATGAGAGTCTCTTAGTAAAGACATTTCAGCCATGCAAATGCTCCACCAAAATAAGAAAATTAATCACGAAAGAGGAAGACAAGGATACAAGATGCAATATGGGGTGCATGTGGGAGGGAGGGAGGGAGGTAAAGGGAATTCCCCTGAGAAGATTCTTTTTTTGTGTGTGAGGAAGATCAACCCTGAGCTAACATCTGTTGCCAATCCTCCTCTTTTTTGCTGAGGAAGACTGGCCCGGGGCTAACATCCATGCCCATCTTCCTCT